GTTTAAACGACTGACCGATGTCGTGAGATGAAATTTCAGTTGCAAGAATTTTCTAAGAATTTTGGAAGGAATTAAAGTGATGATTTTGGGTTTAATTTTTCTTTAGATCGAATATTCTCGAAGATGAAGCAACGTGTTTAATTAGTCCCTTAGTTCGTACCAGAATTATTTGGAATTTTTTTTTATTGGGCAAATTTTAGCTTAGAAGCAATTATGCTCTTCGTTAATATGAATCTTGATTATAAAATGAGCCGTTCACTGTACAAATCGATTAACTTCACTTTTTGAAAAATCTTTAATTATCAAAGCACTTGGTATAGTCAACTTTTTATGTTTATAATAACTTTTCTGAATAATAAAGATTGACACAATTAAAAATTCTTTTTACAAATGAATAATAAATAATTTATTTCATAGGTCATATCGATCGCATTTCTCAATTTTTTGTTTTATGAAGTTAATCGATTTGTGCAATGAACGGTTCAATGTGAACCGTGTGAAATATGAAACTCGAACGAAGGAGGATCGAGTAGACTTCATGCAGTTTGCGTGCACAAGGGTGTCTACTTAATGTGCAGCTCTGAAGATTCAGAATTATGATTGAATAACCCTTCCATCTGATCTGACCCCTTCCGATCTCCACCCCAAGCAACTTTATCTCGCAAGCCCTGTATTCATTACAAATAATAGGCCATTTCCTCGACAACCACCTCGAATACGGTACGCGTGTTGCTCGAGTGGCGTTAAAATAAGTTACGCGCGTTATGGCTCCCACCCTTCGATCCTGGCAACCCCTTTCTCTGACTTAACGAAAAGGCGCCATATGCTGCGAAATACTGTCAGAATGATAAAAAACGAACCATCTAACCCTACATAGCACATTATTTCTGACCTTACAAATGAATTATACAACGATAACGAAAGATGAATCAAGAGTCAAAATAATATTCTACAAAAGGAATTCAACACTTTCAAATCTAACATGCAATCGAAAGGTGACACGATCATTTTTTACCACCAATAAAAATGTTCCAATGGCCTTGAAATTAAATCCAATAATTCTATAAATCCAGAAGAACCTTCGAATAACTTCAAGGTAATTTGAATGCTGTCATGGAAGAACGTTTAAAAATGCTTCCAAGCAGCCTTTTACGTTCCTACGCGGAGAGGTATGCGAAAATTTGAATAACGTCGGTGGAATTCTCGAGGAAGTTACGGGGAAACTCTCTTATCGACAGTCACGAGAGAAGACTTCCTTTAAACTTCTCTTTTATTCTTCTTCTCGGTGAACAGCGTTACGAAGAAAAGTTGGCGATGGATTCGCGGCTAAGGATAATCCGAGACGGGGATGTAAAAAAAAAAAAAAAAAAACGGAATCTAATTGAAGCCGGTCTTTTGTGTACTTTCTTATCACTGTAGAACGATTTTATAATCTTTAAGACCATCCTCGGTGAAGCAACATTTCTTTTTACCCTGAGGCTGGTGTCTATTGAGTCAGACTTTCCTTATGGAAAAGGAATGGGCAGACTTCAGACGTTTAAAAACAGATTATATACTGCGATTAAAAGAGAATTTGATTTATATGCATTTTATGCACTTATAGTAGAGTTCACCAGTTTATTTTATTAGGTTATGTTGCAAGAATAATGTTACTTTGTTCTTTAGATTATCTAAGTTGTCGGATGACAGTTTCCTGTGTTTTCTTAGCGCACAGTACACAAATCAATATTTACAATACTTAAAATAGTAAATGACTCAATTAACAAGAGTGATTTTTATTACAATTTTTATCTAAAGAAACTTCCACTTCGGGGTTGAAATAATTTTCAGAATCAAGTCTTTTACTCCGTTTCGGTATGATTTAATACACTGACAGACAGATTCTCGTTAGAAACTTCACCGAGGGAGGTATATCGTACGAATTCCAATGTCAGTCTAGCTCAGCACGAAAATTTCTAATTTTAATCCGAGAGATTGAAATTTTACCTATTCCAGAGGGAGTATCGCGGCTTAAATAGAAATTGTTGGGAGGGAAACGACGAAGTCTAGCCACGACTATATTCCGCGTGCCGAGATAAGAAACGAATTTCTCTAATTCTCGCGCTGATTTCCAATTTGGATGGAAATTCGGTAGATCCGATCTGCAAAAGTGGTACCCTCGCGTGCCACCGAAAATTGTGTCGGTGTTCGTGACCCGAGGAACTCTCGATCGAGCTCTGCGTTCCACCTACTTCCTTTAAACTTCCAGAGTTTTCGCTTTAGAAAGATGTAGCATAATAGCAACCCTTTCAAATATTGCTTCGACTTGTGGATACTGCAATGTACATACTATAATCGAAAAGAAACACGCCACGATTACAATTAAATTGAATAGATGAACCTCTCTGATACCTATAATTCAACGTACTCAAAAATTATCGGATTCACTTTTGGAATCTAAAATACACAAACCCCGATTTAAATTAAATTTAACAGGCTCGTTTGACGTTAGCTAACATATTCAAAAACAAGGATTCGAAACGCTGCTGAACCCTAACCCAAACCCGGTTAATGAAGGGGAGGTTAACCCATACTAACCACGAAAGAACGGTTCTTGAATTGTAGGACGAGCGGGTTAACCTGCTCGGAGTGGGTTACTAGTAGAAGAAGACATCCTAGACATCCTAGATATCCAGACAAGTCAAAGATATGTGAACTTACAAGCAATAATCAAATCAAATGAAACTAGATTGTTTAAAGTGTACGAGTGTATAATGAATGTAGGACACACACGTTCACTACACGTTCTAAGGCAAGACTGCCGAATGTTTATCATTCGCTCGGTTGTCACAGTTGCTAGTGTTGGGGTTCCCACAAAACTCATAACATGTCCAGTCAAAATAGGGATTCCTTCAAGTGACTGTTTATGCCAATACATGTACTATTCGTCCGCAAGGAAAGGGCTGGGCAAGTGTTTACGTTCCCGTTCTGCTACACAAGTACAGTAAACGAGTAGTAAATACAAGTAAATGTAAGCACTTGCATGACCTTCTTCTCGCGGATGGACAGTAGAGTAGAAAACAGACAATATTGAAATAAAATTGATTACCGTTTAGAACCATGGTAATAACTGGTTTTTACTGTATTATTATAACGCGCATACAACCGGGTTAACCGGGTTACTCGGGTTACAGATGTCTTGTGTTACCTGGTTAGATGGGTTATTTGATAATACGAAGTACCGGAACCCGGTACAGGTTAGGGTTCGAATTCCTGCTCAAAAATTACAGAACGGAGGAACAAACTTGCGCCTGGAATCTAAAACACCCACACCACAATTCAAATTAAATTCAACAACCCCAGCCTGGTAGTGGCCAATAATTCATCATATCAAAAACTATCCCCGAAAAAAATACACCTTACCCTTGGACTAAATAGCCCCTCTATGAAAGCTATTCTCTCCACACTCGGCAATCCATCTCGCGGCGTTTTCAATTGGAACTCGCGGCAATCAATCTCGCGGAGTCGCTCAAGCTCGATTCATCGCGGGCTGCATCGATAGGGAATAAATAATTTGAACGCTCCGCGAATCCCCAGTATCGGTCTCAGCGGTGGCGTACAAATGGCGCATAAATCAACGCGAGATTACATCCGCGGTGTATTTTCCGTTTTTCCACTCTTTGCCAAGGCTTGTTTTCGTCGCGATGCTTTATAGGCTGGCAAATGGAGGATGGCGGGAAAGGCGTGGATCTCTACGTCAGATGCAGAGGCCAACAACGGGCCCTGTCGTAGATCATTGTTCTCCCGTGGCGCGCGATTCTCGCCCACAATTTCGAATCTACCCCTGCCGCGCCCACCGAAATAGATTAAAATGGAATAAACGGGATTATTCGGGATATCCTGCCGCTGGCTGCGAATTTATGCGCTCGCCTAAGACCTGGTCTCGCCGTTTTCTTCATGGGTAAACATTCAGGTGGAGGAGAATATGTCTAAGGAATTTGTCTCGGGATTTTTAATTTTATTGGTGTTTTAAATGGAGATGTATTTTTAATTAGGGTGGTAATTAGGTTGAGGATCTTCTGTAATTGTGGTATGCTACCGGGAAGTGTACTCAGAGTGTATAAAGAAAGCATTTCGTTGAAATGAAGCGAGGATGTTGATATATTATAAAATGCCTCTAAATCACCCTCACTTTCTTAAATTTGTTTTCCTAAAACAATAAATATTTAATTGCAACCACCACGAACCTTACCAATTTTACCTCAAACGTCCCCCACTAATCGTTAAAGTAGCCAATCCGAGACGGTTGAAATTTCAGTCAGAATCTCGCGTATCAGAGGAGTGTTGGTCTTTCGTTCGCCTACTCCCGCAATGCTGCGCGCGAGATAATTCAGCGGATTCCGCGAGACCAGTCTGGATAACCCAGACGAAAGCGATTACAGTCGCTGGTAGGCGCATTGTGGGCCGAAATGACATAACACGGAATAAATCACGGGAAAGGAGAGAACCGTGATTACGGTTAGGCGAACGCGCGCAGCCCATTGCTTCGGGTTTACTGGAGGGATCCTGTTATCTGATACGAGCCCGCGAGACGGCGTGTCAAATGCAACAGCCGTATACTCAGCAAACGGCTACATTTTTCTTCGTCTTTGATGTTGCGCCGCTTTGTGCTACGGTAATTCCATTACGGGACTGTAATTAATCCCCCACCGCCAAGCATGCATCGTCCGGTCATTACTGGCCGCGTTAATTGCGTCTTAACTCGGTTTCACTCTGATTAATTTCATTCGACCGGCAACGAATGCCATTTTTCAAGCCATTCTGCGAGTGTAGCGCGCAATTGCGGTTGTGTTACGATTATTGCAATTAGGTTTGGACTTCTATGGTCACGTTAGATTATTTCTGAGAATATTGCACATTTCTATCTTAATTTATCAAATGATAAGGGCAGGAAAAGAGCTGCGAATTCTTCTTATACTTTTCGCAGAATGAAATAAAAATTCATGGAGAGCGAAACTCACCTTGTTGATTTGTCGTTGCAGTTTCGTGATCGTCGCTCGATCGCGTTGCGCAGCGATCCGTTCCGCTTGCAATGCCTGCTCCAATTCTTGCACTCGTTCCTCCAGACTCTCCTGAAACAACAAAATATTCTCTGTTAGCTAATGTTCTAATATGTCATCTAATTTAATTTAATAATATCAGGAAGATACTTCAATTATTCCATCAACCTATCAGATATCACTAATGCAATCAATTTGAACTACGAGACATCTCGTCCAGGAAAAATATTCCTCCTATAGGAAAAATATTCTGACTAGATAAGAAGACTATTGATGACTATTGATGAACCTTTTCGAGATTGTCCTTTTCATAGCTATTTATATAACGAATATTTGTGATTTTTTTAAATTTCTATCATATTACGAACGAAGATTGAGAATGAACAGACAGGAACATTTTCTGTTATGGAATTGGTTATTGAATGTATACACGTCGAAGTCGAGTGGCTCATGGCCCCATCGGTAATTGCTTCTCCTGCTTCTCGAAGGAATGTTCTCTGCGGCCGGATTAGTGGATTTCGGCCAGAAACTACTGCCAGCTCGGTTTCCGTGCATTGTTACAGCTACCACGAAACCGATTTATCAAAACGATTAAGAGAGACATTTGGACGATGCTGGTGGATAAGGGGAAATGGACAAAGCTGATCTCTAAAGTTTGATGAGGTGATTTCACTCCATGTACAGAGCTTACACAACAAAATTGTTTTCGAGATAAACTTTCCCCATTAAAACCGTTAGGCTTGTCTAAAAATTCATCTTATCCAACGCACCAATTAACCTTGCGTTTCTTTTACTCCAAAAAATTAAACACGCGTCATTGGAACCTACAGTCAATCCCATAAATATTCACACCCTTAATGTCTATTGAATAAATTTGTCTAAATTAAATTGTAGGTTTAATTTTCGAAATAAATTTATATACATAATTATAATGAAATATTTATTTAGAAACATCAAATCCATCATTTAATTCGTATAATTTTCTTCAATAGAGAGTACGAATATTTATGAGACTGACTGTATCTGGACCTACTAGGTATCGGAAAGCACTCGTTCGACGATAAGCTCCGCCCAAGCTCGAGCTCCTCAAGCTCCAGCGTAGTAATCTCGACGACCTGGTCGGACTGCGGTTCGATTCCGAATCACGCATAGATCGAAAGCTTACTGTCGACCGTTTCTCAATTAACTTTCCCATCCGCGAACGCAACGCAACTCAAAACTTTCCCTGTAACTTTCACCAGGATATTCCTCCCTTCTGTAATTCCTGTTGCTCGAGTTTTAAGCTGCCTTAACAGGGGCTTAAAGTTCCTCGAGAGATCACGCCGCTGCACGTGTACTTAGAGATTACGCGAACTCAGATGGGCTATTCGGATTTCCGAAACCGAGAAAATACCACTCGTGCCCAGTTGGTTTCGAACGAAGAACTGCGACGCCACACTCGTTAAATGTTTCCGCAACGCTCGAACATTTTGGGGAAAGGAAACCGTGGTTGGTTCGTTCTATTGCAGCTCGCGTTGCTGTTTCGGTAAACCGAATGCTTGTGGGGACGACTGTAGAACAAACGGTAACAATTTTCAGCGACACTTGGCTTGTTAGCATCGAACCATTAGTAGATAGAACTTAATTTTTATTTGCGATAAAAGTTGGAAAATGTTCCTATTTATGGGATACTGTGTATTCATAACTTAAGGGGTGGTTTTATACAGTGAACGATGAACCATCTTCGGGATTTTGTTTAACACGTTGACTGCGACGTTCGAATTCGTGGTTGCTACCAGGCGGCGGAAGGAACGGAAGGAACGGTGGGTAGCAACAATAGAGGTTGAGAAGCAAGACGGCGGAAAACATACTTTTTCTTTTCCAAGATTGAAACGGCCGAGAAGGTAAACAGACGGGCTAATGATGAGCCCATATAGCAAGTTTCAAGTCGAAACATCGAAAATTCAAGGGTGTGAAGCGTCCTAAAAGGAAGAAAGGATGAAACGCACACCGTGCGTCCGCCGCCGCTGTGGCGAGAATTAGAGAACGCACACTGTGCGTCTTCCGCAATCAACGTGTTAAGGAAACTATACGAAGGATTATAATGAAACTATTTGTGCTTGGCAGTGTACTAATGAAGACCCACATGAATTTTTACATATAATTTGTTCGAATAATGTACGAGATATTAGCAATGTTTCCTGTATAGTGTAATTCTAGCCCACTTCACCTAGTATTCAAGAACTATAGTCTTTACCAGAATTAATTAACAAATCTCGACAATAACTTTGATATCAATACTGAAAGACATTTAATACCTCCGTTACTATCTCACCCCAAAAAGTATGCATTCATATGCAAACCAGCTGGGAATTCCCAAGGAAGCCTTCGAATGGCAATTTCTGTTTCTCCTGCGATAGCTTCTACCAATTCGCGTCTTCGCCAAGGTATTTCTGGTTATCAAAAGCGCTCATCGCGGCCGTTCGAACGGAATGGTAATGAGTGCCGGTCTCCCAGGGCGGTTGGTCGCGATTTGACCATAAGTATCGGTGCAATCCATTAGATTCGAGGCGATGCCGACGGTTTCAGGGGTCTTCGAGGCGCCCAGCGACGCTTCCACGTCGCGCGGGGGATGATTCGTATGCGGGGGCACGTAGCTGCAATTCACCCTTTCTAACCCCTCGGCGAGTCCACGTTTTAGTACTCCACGCCGATCCACGAGTACGCCTGGCCATTGTTTGTCGCGAGCGAATAAAATTATACCGGGTGTGCCGCCTGTTAATGTCACGCGAACTGACCGGACGTTCCGAGCATAAATTCAAAGAAGAATTTTGATAAAATTTAGTTGCCACGTGCGAATTGGTGAAGTTAATTAATTTTTACGTTTTTCTTTAGGTGCGCTGAATATTTTTATTTTTAATGCATATCAGGATATTCCATTACAAATATAATGAAATTTAAAATAGAAGTTCGAAAATTAAATTCGAATTGCAAAGTAGATATATTATTTTGATAGAAATCTTGTTTGGAATTAAAAGATTGCATGAGTGAGTAGTTTGATGCAAGTGTAGCGAATGAACAAGATAAACTTAATTGCAAAAAGACACAAAAATATTCAAGAAAAATTTGCGAGTACGGTAATCCGAAAGGATTTTTACTTCCTCTTAAGATTAATTCGCAAGACACCCAGTATAAAGATACAAGGGTTTCCCTGGCCGCTTTCGCAAACTTGTAAATCTGTATTAAAGGGTTTCCGGAATGACCATGGCTGACATTATCGGGGGAAAGTATTGGTTTTCCTTGGATTAATGGCGCGGTCTGCGCTGTGAATAATTATGAACCAGTCAAGTCGGAACAAACAGGAAAAGATTTAAGGCTACGACCCCCTCGTCGTAATTTTCACGAGGCCGCCACGAGTCTGCGTACTTTCTTTCAGCAAACCTTCAAGGTTTTCTTCAAAACAACCCATTCAACATAATTTCAGAATCACGAATTAAGTATTAATTAATACATTAATTACACGAATACAGAGATTTTAAAATGGCTGCTGTTTAATAGAAATAATACTAAACATGTGCGATCCCTAAAGTCTAGACACAACCTTACAGAAATAAAACATGTTAGCTCGGAATTCAATTGTGATAACCTCGGAACCCAGGAATTCGATAGTGCACTCCTAAGGTACACTCTTCCCTATAGAATTCGATTTCATCCAATAACCCTAATACCAATAAAAAGGAAAACCAACAAGAAATCCACCTAACGTTATTATTAAATCTAAATCCACTTAGATTCAAATCAATGCTTCTCCAGGACCTCTTCTCTATTTCCTCTCTCCTCTCTTTCAAAACCAGCTCTTTATGTTCCCTCTCTTTCTTTAACTCCATCCCATTCTAAACTCTTTCAATGAGTCCTTCCTAGCTTTCAAGCAATACAAAATTAATTCAACCTGTCCTCAATGCATGTGTCCCTAAAATAATTAACTCTCTATGAGCTTGTGTAACCTTCAGGTCACAATACATCGACATTTTAGTTAATAATTTTATTTTTTCTATAAGATAACGTATACATCTTAATTATATAATGTCAAAATGTAATAATATACAAAATGGCTCGCAAGTTGTCTAAAAAAAACAAACAAACTCGGTCCATAGAGGATTAACGGAAGAGGGTTTCCACGGCATCCCACGTGCAGTGAGAGCGTCTGGTTGCGTGTCGTGCGTCCGGAGAGGCGGACATGCGCAATTATAACAAGCTGCCCCTGTATAACTAGCCCTTGTCTTGTGCGCCCCTCAGAATGGACGAAAGGGGCGTCACCGTGCACGGGGATCCATTCGAAGACCCATAGAATTAGTACGGGGACTTCCGGGACGTCATTTAAAGTACAGAACCGCCGCGATGAGCCCACTCTATATGCAGAGATTCCGTTAAATTGCAAACGCCCATTTTCCAGCGTGGGGAGGCGAACGAGGACAAGGGTAAGGTCCCGTCCGCGTCGCCCTCGAGTAATCAGACGGTTAACTCGATCCAGGGAACGTTTACGGGACGACAGCTCGAGCCGATTTTCTTATGCCCCGGAGAAAACCTCGTGTCTACGATCATCTCGCCGCTGCATGCTCCTGGCCTGGTCAGAACCTCCTCGGGGATTGTTAATCTCGGCTGGGGATGAATTTATTTAATTTAAGCGAGAAGAGATTAAATCGTGCCGGAGGATACATTAAATGCGCTCCAAGATCTAGCAGAAAGTCATATGTTTAGTAGGTTGCGTTGTATCGAAGTTTACGAGTGAGAAATAAGAGAGAAGAGAATGTTTTGGATGCTGGGTGTAACGACGAGAGAGATGGTCATTGGAATCCCAAGGGTTGGACACTGTTGGGAAAGGGACGTCAATGTCCAGAGGTCCTTGGATCTAAGAGATTACGACCACAGTGGTGCTATAAAGCATTTTGTTAAACGTAGGATTGAGACGTAAAGATGTGAATTTAAAAAAAATATCACCTTATAGGGGATGACAAGACGGAACTTTGTTATATTTACAGTTTATTCTTAGGGTGCTTCGTTTCGAAAATAAAAATTGAAAAGTTCGAAGTCCG